AAGACAAGGATAAAAGGACGAGACGACGAAAAGACTCAAGAATAATGGGACTAAAGAAAAAGGACCAAAGAACACAAGGACGAAGGATGCAGGAACAAGACGATGAATGAGTGAAAAAACGAAAGACGAAAGGACGAAATCTCAAAAGGATAAAAAGACGAAAGTGTAGAAGGACGAAAGTCCAAAAAGACAAAGGACGGGAGAATGAAAGAATGCAAGGACGCCAAGACAAAAGGACGAAAAGACGTAAGGACGGAAGAACGATAGTACAAAAGGGTGAAGGACGAAAATACGAAAGGACACAAGGACAGGAGAACAAAAAGACGAGAGAACGAAAGGATCAATGGACGAAAGGACGAAAGAAAGAAAGGGCGCAGTCACAGGGAAGATAGCACAAGAGTAAGCAACGATAAAAAAACGAAACGACGCAGGACGAAAAGACGAGAGGACGAAATGAAGCAAGGAGAAAAGGACGCAAGGGCAAAAGGACGAGAAGACGTGATATCGAAAGGACGAAAGAAAAATACAAGGAAAGTTAAAAAGGACGAAAGGAAACAAGCACAAAAAGAGATAATAACAATAGAACAAACGGATGAAAGAGTACGAAAGGATCAATGGACGAAAGGACGAAAAGACGAAGGGGCGCAAAGACGAAGTGATGAAAAGACAAAAGGAAGCAAGGACGAAAGAAGACAAAGATGAAAAGACGAGAGTACGAAAAGACCCAAGAATAAAGGGACTACAAAAAAGGGACGAAAGAACACAAGGATAAAAAGAATAAAAATACGAACGTGTAGAAGGACGAAAGTTCAAAAGGACAAAGAACGGGAGAATGAAAAAATGCAAGGACGCCAGAACAAAGGACACAAAGACGAAAAGTTGTAAGGACGAAAGGGCGCACAACCACAGAGATGATAGGACAACAGTAAGAAACGAGAAAAGGACGAAACGACACAGGACGAAAAGGCAAAAGAACGAAAGGATGTAAGGAGAAAAGGACGCAAGGACAAAAGGACGAGACGACGTGAGAACGAAAGGAGGAAAGAAAAAAGACAAAGATGGTTTAGAAGGACGAAAGGACCACAGGACGAAAGTAAACAAGAACAAAAAGAAAAAAAAAATAGAACAAGGAAAGGATGAAAGAGTACGAAAAGATGGATCAACGGATGAAAGGACAAAAAGAAGAAAGGGCACAAGAACGAAGTGATGATGAAGACAAAAGAAAGCAAGGACGAAGAAAACAAGGATGAAGGACGAGAGGACGAAAAGACCCAAGAATAAAAGGACGAAAAAAAAGAACGAAACAACACAAGGACGAAGGATGCAGGAACAAGATGATGAATGGGTGAAAAAACGTAAAGACGAAAGAACGAAATCTCAAAAGGATAAAAAGAATAAAATTACGAAAGTGTAGAAGGACGAAATTTCAAAAGGTCAAAGGACAGGAGAACAAAAAGACGAGAGAACGAAAGGACCAATGGACGAAAGGACGAAAGAATGAAATGTCGCAAAGCCACAGGGATGATAGGACAAGAATAAGCAAGGAGAAAAGGACGAAACGACACAGGGCGAAAAGACGAGAGGACGAAAGGATCGAAGGACTAGAGGATTAATGGAAGAAAAGACGAAAAAACTAAAGATTGAAAGAACGAAAGATCCATAGGACAACAGGGTGTGAGACGATAGTATCAAAAAACTAAAGGATTAATTGAACTAATGGACAAAAGAACTCATGAAAAAAAAGACCAAAGGAGAAAAAATTAATAGAACCAAAGAACTATAAAGGACAAAAGGACTCAATGACAAAAGAACAGGACGAGACGACAGAGAAGCGAAAGGATAACAGGACGAGACGACAAAATGACGAGAGGACTAATATATGAAAGACTAAAAAGGACTAAAAAGGACTAAAGGATTAATATATATATAAGGACTGACAACCGAAAAAATGAAAAAACTAAAGCACGAAAGGACGAACGAACGAAAGAATAAGTAAACAAGAGGATAATAGGAATAGAGGATCAAAGAACGAAAGGATGAGAGGACGAAGGCATAATAGGACTAAAGGATCGAAGGATGACAAAAGGACAAAAGTACGAAAGGATGGGAGGACGAAAGGACGAGACAAGGAAAGGATCATAAGATTAACACAACTAAAGGACTAAAGCACTAATGAAAGAAAGGATCTAGGGACGAAAAAACGAAAAGATGAGAAGACGGCAGGATTAAGGACTAATGAATTAATGGAAGTAAGGGACTAAAGGAAAAACAGAAAAAGGCACTAAAGGGATAACGCACAAAGGACGAAAGAATGGAAAGACGTACTTTACAGTAAGCGATTCTTAGGAATTTTTCGATCTCAGTATGAATTCGTTTGGGCCCGAAAAACGCAAAAATCCCTGTTTTTTTGTTCCGGACACGTTATTATCGAATCACTCTGCAAAATATACAAATAAACATTATTACTCGAAATTAAAATTGGTCGGTTTTATATCCCGGAAGTTAAAATTTTACAATAAATAAAATAAAGCGGCGCGTTTTGATGACACTTAAATAAACAATTATTACCATTAGTAAATATGTATTCAAATTATTGACCCGGCGCATCCACCGCTTTCGCCCCAGAATTTCCCGCAGCTCCCAGTGCACTAAGAGCGAAAGCATTCCGAGAAAGCCATCAAATAAAAATGACTACAAGACAGGCGGAAATACACTTCGCCATCGTTTCCATGGACGCAAATCGGATTAAAACAACAAGATTGGAGGAATACGTCTCCTTTTTTAATCTGTTTCGAAAAAGAAAGCTCTGCTATTGATATCCCCCGCACACTTGTTCCAGGTGCTAAAAGTCCTAATTTTTGCAGAAATGAAATTTTAATTAAGCCGGGATTAGAACTTCCTTCAATGGCGTGGAACGGCTGCGAAAATGCAATAAAGGACGCATTACCGAGAAACTTTCAATCTTCTTCAGTCGATAAAATTGTGGTAATTACCCGGGCTAGGCGAAAAAATAGGCAGAAATTAGGAAATGGCTTTGGGATGGTCTGGTATCAGCGAGAAAGAAGTGCGATAATGGTTCTGTGGGCGATAAAAGGCGAGTCGTCCGATCTGTTAATAAGGTGCCAACTAACATAACAGTTCTGTGTCGTTCTCTAACTGTATTACCTCGAAAACTTCTAATTGCAACTGGGAATATCTAATTTTATTAATTGACAATGTCGGTCGACTAATAATCCTGTTACGTAAACAGGACTAATCCTGTCTTCGCCAAAGCACAGGATTGGAGTCGTAGGCGTTGATCTTTAAAACAAACAAGTTTTTGGCAATCGCTCGGATTCGAGAAAATAAAGGATTTTCGCTTAATTCCGAGCTTAAAGTTGGTTAATTAAGAGAAATCATCCGGTGGTATTAGCACCACACCCACACGCCACTTCAGATACACCTCCACTTTTTACAAAAACACGGTCGTGTTATTTCCTTGATGCTGCAAATGCTTTGTCATATTTTGTGTTTCTCTAATGGATGTCTCCTTAAAAAAATGTGTACGGAACGACGTACTTATTCTTAGCGCAGAGATAATACTTCGGTATTTTAGTTAATCATATTATTTTTTCCATTTAATTTTTATACGTTCTCAGGTCGTAAATGATCGGTGTTTATTGAACGAAATTTAGTTGTTAGGTTTCCTGTACAGGTTTTCTAAAATTAATTTTTTTAAGAAATAATAATTTTAATAATATTACCTACGAGTGCGGAAAGTGACTTTCTAGTTCTAAAAATTCTGTTACGTTTTCAATCGTTTAGGTGCGGAATCTCCGGAATTGCCGGTCGTTTTCCGCTCCATTTTTCCTCCACCCCCTCGTGATCCTGCAAGATTTATCCTTTTGTCGCCATCAACAGGTGCATAATCCCGCGAATGCCACGCTAAATTTCCTGCAAATGCCGCCATTGACCGCCATTCTGTCATTAGCTTTAATCGCCTCCAATTTTTCAAGCTCGCAGCCTCCTTTCGCTCTCTAATAACGGAACGAAAGCGCATTTCCTTTTTCTCGTTCCGACTTCAGAAGGAATGTTAAAACAGCGATTCAATTCTTAATGAGCTTTTGTAACATTATCCCCAGCCAGCAGGTTCGTACTTGTTAGGTGTCGGAGGATTTAAATTCAAGTTGTCGAGTAAATAGAAGTCAGATGGGGATTTAAGGCGAGACGAGATAATGGTGTGGCTATTATTAAAATGGTAATAATAAAAGGGATTGAATATTATTTGAAATTATTTCATTCAAGATAAGACGAACATCCCTCAGAGGGCTCGTTCGCGTTTTTGTCTAATTTGAATGCACCATCCGCACATGTTTGTATTCATTATCTGCCCCCGAATGTAAATTCGGTCACATAAATAACGTACCTGGATTTCGACGAGCTCCGTATCGAATCGACGATCAAAATGTGAAATAGAACGGGGGGTGTGTGCGTACCTAATAATGCGTAAATGGAAATACAGACATCCCTGTTGCAGGCCTGAAAGTAGGTTAACGCTGTCAGGGCCGCCCTCGCCCTAACCACTTCCAGCTTCCCCTCTCTGGGAGAGACATTTCCGGGCAACCTAATTCTTGTTTCAGCGGTATTTAATTGGTTATTGAATATGGGGCATGATGGGCTCGTTAGACGGAACGGATTTTTATTGGAGATTTCGTGCTTTGTTAGCTCTCGAGGTCTCATTTCGATGGATAATGAAGTCATCGGAGCTGCGGCTTTTATACTTTTCCATTTAGCGGAGCTAGTTGTTATGTGTTAATAACGAAATAAAGTGGCTAAGTGGCGGCAATTTGCGATAATTGAACGAACTTAGGATTTTTCTGAGAGATATGAGATTTTTTGCGGGGAATTTTACCGCCTTTTTATTATGTAATAGTACAGATTGTAGTCGATAAGGCAAAAAATTATTAGAGTAAAGATTAGTGATCTTAGGTATATTTTGCTAACCACATTTTAGAATCTGATAAGTTTCTATATTGTTACTTTTATTATTTAAGCTCTGATGATGATACTTGATAGTATCGAAACATGTAAGCGAATAACTTAAAATAAAATAATTCATTTTGCTTAGCTGTTGTCGGCTACTTGTTTATAAATCCAGTCTACATAAGTCGCAGTTTTGCTAAACACCCCAGGATATCCTTTGACGGTACAAGGTTTGATGGACCAAGACACACCACCGACTTGTACGCCGTTAACCAACAAGGGACCACCCGAGTCTCCCTAAACACACCAATATTAACTACTGATTTTCAAAATACTTCAAAATTATTTACATTGCATTGTCCTTTACCACCCTCAGGAACTCCAGCACAAATATTAAACTTCCGATTTGTTGGACCTGTTTGTGCGTGAATTTTCTCACATTCGTCATCACTGTAGACAACGATGTTGACTTGTTGTAAATGAGTTTGAATGCTTCCCCCGGACTAAAGCAAATACATAATAATTAAAAAATACAAAATTTTAAAAATCGAAAATTTCCACCTTATCAAGCCCCCACCCTATAAGAGTAGCTGGGGCATTTTCAGGAGTCGCGTTTCCTGCAGGTGCCAGAACCACTGGTTGAACGGTGGGTCCGTACGTCAATTTTGTGTCAAGCTAAAATAACCTCTATTGAAAAAACACCAAACTTAGTATTAAAAAGTGACCTTCACAACTGCGACGTCGTAATAATAACCACCTCCACCGGTATAGTTTTCGTGGACCATGATTTTGGACACTCTTGCCACATTTGGGGCGTTGAAGCCAGACGATATGGTAGTCAGCCCAGATTGCAGGCTCAGAAGCGAAGTTGGGCTACAATTTCAAGTTAAAAAATTTACAAAAATGTGTTTGTTTGACATACTATCTATAGACACAATGGGCTGCGGTTAAAATGAAGTTATTGTTCAAAATTGTGGCACCGCAGCTGTGGCTATCGAGAAATCTCAAAGAAGCCTGAAAGCGGAGTGTAGTCTTTTGAAAGAGGAGCAGTGGTTGTACTTACGACGAATGGGAAGTCTTCTATGTTGGCGTCTGTACCGTTAACGATTCGCCAACCGGTTGGGGAACCTTTAATAACGAGAAAGTCAGACAGTGCTGGATTAATTAAAATAAAATGATTACCGATGGCACTTGTGGTACTAAGTAAGAGGATTGTTAGTTGGATGAGCATTTCACTGGATTTAAGTCGTGTTGGAACTGCTACGATTTTTAAAATCCTCGTTTTTATATGGTTGGCTTAAGCAACAGATTTTTCGAAATATATTTATTACAAAATTGTCAATTCATTTCCGTAAAGTCTGTAGATGGTTATCGTCGAAAAATATTTTTATTTGTATGTGAGGAAGATAAGATTGTAGACTGTTTTCAATCAAGTCTGGTTCGTGATTTAAATAAGATAATAAGTGTTTCTTTTTTACAATAATTTTTCTATTAGTCATTTAGCCTTTTAGACCTTCTGTTCTTAGTTTCGTTATTCCTACGCAAAACCTCTTTATTAAAAAAAATCAAAATTGATCAAATTAAACAGATAAAACGTAATTTATCTTGTTGCACTTTTGCGAATGTGCTGCTGTTTTGTTCAATAAGATGTGAAATTAAAAGGTAAACATATTTTTTTCTGAAGTAAATAATTTCCTGTGAAAGTTTCTTCAAAACTTCTGAAATGAATATAAAAAAACCGGCGCCTCCACCATTTTTACATAAAAAGTTAAAGCTGGTTAAATCAGTCCTAAAGCACACACAGACTGATGGAAAATTTGCTCAGGATCGCGAATCTATGTTTGTTTTTTATTGTGTCTTTCCAAGTATATAGAAAAACGTCTTTTTATAAAACAAATTTAAGTAGGTAAAATTAAACCAACACAAGGTAATATATATCTTATTTCACTTCCGTGGGTGTTTGTTCTTTTGTTCAAAAGCCGTGATATTTAAAGAAAAACATTATTTTTACAGAAAGAAAACATTTCCTGGGGAAGTTTCGTAGAAAATCCTGAAATAATATTTTTAAATTATTGTCCCAACGCCTCCATCGTTTTACATCAAAAAAAATGTTAAGTTAGTCCTAGGAGGCACCAGTCTGACGAAAAAAATTAAGCAAGTCGATAAAGCCAAATTGCGAATGAAAAGAGACAATGACAAGAAAAATTATAAAATAAATTTTTCTTAATGTAAAAAATGTTCTTATCAGCAATCTCTTTATCTTCGTCACATTATAATTTTAATTCGCCGAGATTAGTAAACTCCGACCAGTATAAACAATGTTTTAATTCCTTTTGTTTTAATAAATTAAAAATTTGAATATAATGGGAACGACGTTGCAAAATCGTGGCCACTTATTTAGGACATCGCATTAACATTGATAAGACGAAAGCCACAAATTCAGCGGCACTGTAACAACAAATCTACACTAAAAGGGGGACACAATGGATTGAAACCATTCCAAACGAGAGTTGTTTATATTCCCTGGTATAACGTAAATATTTGTCTATGTATATATTAGTACAGATTTAGTTAAACAAATCGTTAACCCTTATTGACTATCATCCTGATTTGTACACCTGCTGTCCACATAAATTGAGGTTTTAATTATCACTTTATAAATATAATTAAAAATCAAATGGCCACTGTAATTAACCTTCCATAAATTCCAATTATTTAATTTTGTTTATAATTTGGTGTAGTATCATATAGATGCTGAAACTGTAACCAACCAAAATTTGGATAATCATCCCCACACTACTTTGATGACGTCATCAACAAAATTTACAATATTAAATTTGTTTTTATTTTTATAAACTTCTGTATTTGTGGTGTATGAATCCGTGTCGAATTTTCAATAGTTTAAGGTTGAAACTGCACAACCGAGTGTTCTGAAATCTTGGAAACGTTTTAAGGTAATGATAATCACGGTAAATCGTTAATCAAAGTGTATTCATTTATCCCCTCACAAAAAATTGATGACGTCAGCGCAAAATTTTGCCTAATAATCCTAATGCAAAAAATTCTGACTATATTTGTGGTTTATGAATGCACTCATAGTTTTTATAATTACTTGCTGAATTTATTTACCTCAGACCAATTTTTTGATATCACAATTTTTCGTGTTTTCATTTGATTTTTCAGTTCCTCGAATTTTCAGTTTTTAAATTTTTCAATTTTGTAATTTTTGGCTTTCTAATTATCCGATTTTCCGATTTCTTTAATTTTCAATATTTCTATTTTAGATGCATTTTTCGATTTTGCTTTTTCTGTTTTTAGCTTTCTCAATTTTTAATCTTTCAATTTTTCAGTTTTCTTTTAATCAATTTTTCCAGTTCTTGTAGATTTTTCATTGATTTCGTTTCAACTTTTTCGTTAGTTCATTTTCGATTTTTTAATTTTACAGTTTTGCACTTTTTCCATTTTTTTTATTCAAAAAATTGAAAAATTAAAAAGAACTAAAGAACCGAAAAATTGAAAAACTTAAAAATCGAAAAAAAAAAAATAAATCGAAAAATTGGAAAAGAAAAACAACAACTGAACCGAAATCTGCAATACTGAAAGATAGAAAAATTAATCGTCGAGAAATTGAAAAATTAAAAATCGGAACATTCAAAAAATGGGAAATTTTAATTAAAAATTATAATTAAAATGAAAACTAGAAACTTTGTAAATCAAGAATTAAAGAATCGAAGAACTGAAAAATCAGAAAGTTGAAAAATCGCAAAATTGAAAACTGAAAAACTGCAAATCGCAAAAATTATAAAATCCAAAAAGTGAAACATTTCACACAGAAATAAAAATCTGAAACGACAAACTGTTAATCGAAAAATTGAAGAAATGAAAAACTGAAAAATCAAAGACTTGAAAATACGCGAAACAAGAGAAAATAACCGAAAAGTGGAAAATTTGAAAGTTCGATAAATCGAAATATAACAAAAATTGAAAAATCTTAAATTTAAAAATTCGAAAATTTGAAAAATAGAAAAATTTAAACTTCAAAAATTCGTAAAACGGAAAAAGAGAAAAATCGAGGAAACGGAAAATCGAAAAATTCAAGAATTGCCAACGTAAAAAATCGAAAAATGCTAATTATCTAAAATTTGGAAAATCCAAAAATTGATGAATCGAAAATACAAAAAATCTAGAAGTCAAAATAAAAAATCGAAAGTTGAAGAACTAAAATATTGAAAAATCTGTAAACTGAAATATTCAAACATTAATCAATCGAAAAATTGAAAAATCAAAAGAAATTAAAGAATCGAAAAATTGAGAAATCCTAAAACTGAAACATCGAAAAATTGCAACTGGAAAATTTGAAGAAATGAAAAATTGAAGAATGAAAAAACTGAAAAGTCGAATAAATGAAACAGTTTTAAAATCCAATAATTGAAAAATGGAAAAATTCTTAAATTGTGAAATTCAAAAAGTGCAATGTTTTAAAAATTATTATTGCATATTTAAAATGAAAACTATAAAAATTTCAAATCCAGAATTAAAGAAACGAAGAATAAAAAACTCTCAAAATTGAAAAATTGAAAACCAAAAATTGCAAATCGAAAAATTGAAAAATACAGAAATCGAAAATTTTCATATTGAAATAAAGAAAAATTATAAACCCAGAACATTTAGAAATCGAAAAATGGAAAATTTGTAACATTGAAAAAATGAAAAAGTTTAAAAATTATGATTGCATATTCAAAATGAAAACTAGAAAAATTTCAGACCAAAAATTAAAAAACGAATAATTGGAAACTCTAAAAGCTGAAAAATCGAAAAATTGAAAACCGAAAAATTGCAAAATTGCAAATTGACAGATCCAAAAATTGAAAATTTCCCATTGAAATAAAAGTTAGAAAATCAAAACAATCAAAAACCAAAAAATTGAAAAAATAAAGAACATAAAAACCGAAACGAAAAACTGCGAAAAGAAAAATTGCAAATCGAAAAATTGAAGGAATAAAAATTTAAAAAATTGAAAAATTGAAAAATTCAAGAAATCGAAACGTCAAAAAATCGAAAAACTAAAAATTCGAAATATCAAAAATTTAGAAAATGAACACAAAAAATAGAAAGATTGAAGAATTAACATACTGAAATATTGCTAAATCGAAATATTATAAAATTAATAAATCGAAAAACTGAAAAATTAGAGAAAAATTGAAGAACCGAAAAATTAAAGAATCTTAAAACTGAAACATCGAGAAATTACTAATCGAAAATTTGAAGAAATGAAAAATTGAAGAATTGAAAAACTGAAAAGTCGAATAAATGAAACAGTTTTAAAATCCAATAATCGTAAAATGGAAAAATTCTAAAATTGTGAAATTCAAAAAGTGAAAAGTTTTAAAAATTATTATTGCATATTTAAAATGAAAACTATAAAAATTTCAAATCAAGAATTAAAGAAACGAAGAATAAAAAACTATAAAAATTGAAAAATTGAAAACCAAAAATTACAAATAGAAAAATCAAAAAATCCAAGGAAACGAAACAAAAAAATATCAAAAAATTGAAAATTAGAAGTATCTAAATTTTAGAAACACCAAAAATTGCAAATCGAAAAATTGAAGAAATGAAAAATTGAAAAATCGAAAAAATTAAAAATTCGAAGAATCTAAACAAAAAATCTAAAAATTGAAAATTCGAAGTATCTAAATTTTAGAAAAATTAAAAAATCCGGAAAGGGAAACATCGAAAGTGGTGAATCTAAAATCAGAAGAAATGAAAAATTGAAGAATCGAAAAATTGGAAAGTCAAATAAACGAAAAAGTTTTGAAAAATGGAAAGATTCTAAAATCGTAAAATTGAAAAATTGGAAATTAAAAAAATATATTGTTGCGTATTTAAAATGAAGACTTGGAAAATTTCAAATTAAAAATTGAAGAAATAAAAAATTACAAAATATAAAAGTTGAAAAATCAAAAAATTGGAAAATTCAAAACTGAAAATTTTCACATAAAAAATATATAAAATCAGAACATTGAAAAATCTAACAATGGAAAAATAAAGAACATAAAAAGCCGAAACGAAGAACTAGCGAAATGAAAAATTCCAAATCGAAAAATTGGAGGAATAAAAATTGAAAAATTAAAAAATTGAAAAATTCAAGGAATCAAAACGTCAAACAATCGAGAAATTGTAAATTCGGAATATCAAAAACTTAGAAAATGAAAACAAAAAATAGAAAGACTGAAGAATTAACATATTGAAATATATTACTAAATTGAAATATTATAAA